TAAACACTGCCTCGAGTGCAAGGCCCCGGCTACTGGTTTTATACACTTCCTACAGTGCAAGTCCAAAAAAATGTATCGATTTGTGGAGCCGGTGGTGCGACACCAAAAGTCCGCTACCCAAACAAAGACACATGATTTTATTATATAATGATTTCATTTGATGGAAAAACATCCATGAATGAAGTGGTTTTATGAATATATAGTTGGTGTTTTAAAAATGATCATTGGATGTATTTCATCGGATTTTACTACACATTGACATTGCATTGTGTGGTGGAGTTGGTGACGACTCGGGTTATGATGCATGAGTGAGTATCATCTCATTTCATAGCATGACATGGTAGAATTCCAACCTAGAATTGCATATTCTTACTTGAAATGTTGATGTGAATATGAAATGTTGAATGTGAACATTGCATGTGCACCTAGGTGGGGAGTAGCTTTTGTAGGAAATACTCTACTGGACGTGGCTCACCCTATACGGGAAAACATTTCAGGTGCGAGATTTATGCCGATGGACGGCTCTCATTCGGGGTCGCAAGGGTGAAGAAGACCGACTTGTGGTTTTTATAACTCTTTTTGTAAAATTTTTGGAGCAAACTAGTTTTGGCATGTAATTTTATGTAAAAGAGTTGTAATTGAACTTATATGGACTCTTTTTAATATAACCTTGCATATTTTTATATGAGAATGGATAAATGGACCTAGTGTGGTCAATGTTTACTCATAAATGGACCCGGTGCGATTATTATTCCATATTGGGCCTCGAATGAGTCATATGAATATATATTGCACAGGTTGGGTTTTAGATAGAGCTTCCCGTACAAAGGAGACTCTGCCCAAATTTTGTTAAATTATGGATCCGATAAATGGGACATTACGGCGCGATATCGAGTTACTCGGTATACACGGATATTCTGCGGGTTGATAGGTGATCAACGGACCTCCGAATTTTAGGGTGTCACATAACTTGTCATGTAAGCAAATAATTTTTCACCCTCCTACCATGTAAGCCCAAATGAGGTTCACCTTTCCCATTTAGAGTTTTATTATTAGTTGGTGATACCATGTCATTAATAGTGACATGGTACCACCGTTGCATTCAATATTTACTCTCACAATAGGGCCCCAATGGTGACATGTTGTCTCATTCGAACAATGCGCCTTAAATAGAGTTTATATTGGATCTCACAAAATCAGCCATATCTAAGGAATTGAACTATACCAGCCAAATGACGTTTAGCTCATTTGAAGAATTGATGGTGATAATGGTAGTCATAGGATGATAATGGTGGTGGGGGTGGGGTTAGTGTCAATGGTGGGTGTTGGTGATAATGGTAGAGATGGTGGTGGTCATGCTAGCGATGGAATGGTAGTTATGAGATTGTGGCGGCGAGGTGGTGGAGGAGATTATGGNTTATTATTATATTTATTTTCATTATCACCATCATCCCACCACCACCGTCGCTCACTGCCACCATCCACTATTACCATTGTTGCCCACCACCACCCACTACCACAACCCACCACCATCCGTTGTCGCCATTGCCGCCATCCACTGTCACCTACCTCCACCACACCTACCACCACTACCACTGTCATTCGCTACCACCCACCACCACCATCGCTCACAAGCACCTATCATTGCCCACCATCTCCATTGTCACCGCCCCACCACCACAAGTCACCACCGCTACCACCACTAGTGCCAACTACCATCACTGTTGCCCACCACCACCCACATCCATTATCACCATCACTGTCACTCATGGTTGCTGCTACCACAATTGTCACCTAAAACCCACCACCACCATCACCATTGCCACTCATGACTGCCACCACCACTACGGTCGTCACCGTCCACTACAACTATCACCGTCTCCTCCACCACCACTACCACCATTCACCCCCACTACAACCGGTGCTTAAATTCTTTTTTCTCTCCTTTATGTTTGTAATTTGATTTTAAGTGTGAATACAAATATGTTTATGATTGACAGACAATAACTAGTAATATAATAATATGGAAACTAACACATTAAACTAATAACACTAAAGAAAACACAATAAATTTGATAATATGTCTTCAAAAAGTCTGAAACATCGTACACAAGCAATTATAATAAAACACAACAACAAGCCATAAACATCATAATTGTTGCACTTTTACACAATAACAACTTGTTCTAAACTAAACCATATCAAACACCATAATTGCTACAATAGATCACCACAATTCAAGTAAATCTGCACAAAAAATAAGCCAATGTTTAGCAACTCAAACATCCACAACAATAAAAATATTATAAATTCGGGTACGGTCAAAAATAGGTCGGGTACACTAAAATTTGAACACCCCTAGTGATAAATAGGTAATATCCAATTTAAAATTTATTTTTTTAAAAGATATTTAAACTTTAAAAAGATTTGAATTTAATTATTAAATACACTCAATTAATAAAAATAAATGTCTTAAGTTTTGGGTGTTGAATTGAATTATCATACACCTTAATGGGATGCAAAAAGTTTTTCTTTGCAGAGTCTTTAGCTCAGGAAAGCACACAAGAACGACTCTGGAAGAATGATTTGTTGATGTTCATGCTTAAAGCACAAGCACGTGTTTTGTCAACACATTCTGCTCTATATACACAACTGCACTGCCAAAAAGAGTTATCATTGTAACAATCTAAAGGCAAGGTCTTCTTCCAGCAATGTCCAATTTCTCAAGTTGAGGGTTGCAAAAGCAAAACTCACAATAAAAAAATCCAAAAGTAGTTGATGGGACACTTCTGAGAGGATAGGATTCTGACACGTGTCCTCAACGCCGAGGACACCTTCTGCTCTCTGGTGCTGACAAGTGTCCTCGGTGCTGAGGACACCTCCTACTCTCTGGTGCTGCCACGTGTCCTCGGCACTGAGGGCATCTCTACTTTATGATGAAGACACGTGTCCTCGACATCGAGTACACCTCCTGTTCTTTGGTTCAGCCACGAGTTTCCTACGAGATTAGATTCCAAGTGACATTTTGGCCATGACACCTCGACTCTTGAAAGGATTATTGATGGGTACAGCCCATCAATCTTAGAGATAAGCTATGAATCATTGGCTTACCCTTCCCAATAAAGTCAGAATGACAGAATGAACAAGACACTCAACTTTGACATGGACAAAAATACCCCTTCTGACATGAAGTCATCCTAGAGAAGTATTAATAAACCCTCAAAACGATGGGACATTCACAATGACTTGAGAAGCCGAGAAAGAGGAGCATTAAATGCTCTAGGACCCGAGCACTTAATACCTCTACATTGGAGAAAGNTTGGCTTACCCTTCCCAATAAAGTCAGAATGACAGAATGAACAAGACACTCAACTCTGACATGGACAAAAATACCCCTTCTGACATGAAGTCATCCTAGGGAAGTATTAATAAACCCTCAGGAGGATGGGACATTCACAATGAATTGAGAAGTCGAGAAGGAGGAGCATTAAATGCTCTAGGACCCGAGCACTTAATACCTCTACATTGGAGAAAGAGCATTTAATGCTTGAGAGCCTGAGCAATTAATAACAGGAACTCCCCCATGCAAAATGGGAAACACACTGCCCAATAACTATACTATACCTACTGCCTCACCTATCGGCAATGATGAGCCTTTGAAGGTATAAATAGTGGCGAAAACTTGAAGACAAAGGAATGAGAACCCAATTCTCAGAATACACAATGTTTTTCCTTCCCCTCTCTCACAGAAACTAACTTGATCGTTGAAAGGGATACGTTGGAAAACACTCTGGCGCCCTTCTAACCCCTCCTTTTGTGTTAGGAATCGCCTACGGCTCACCGGGATCGATCAGACAACCCCTTAAGCAATTCATCACCACTCCTTAGGCAACCTTTGGCCTCCCTTTGCTANCCCCTCTCTCACAGAAACTAACTTGATCGTTGAAAGGGATACGTTGGAAAACACTCCGGCGCCCTTCTAACCCCTCCTTTTGTGTTAGGAACCGCCTACGGCTCACCGGGATCGATCATACAACCCCTTAAGCAATTCATCACCACTCCTTAGGCAACCTTTGGACTCCCTTTGCCACCGGACCGTCTACTTTCAAGGTAAATACAAGTTCACCAAAGGAGAGAGTTGTTTTTATTTATTTATTGTTCAAAAAACTTCCCGCACAGTAGCCTAATACAATGATGTTAAAACAATATGGACCTTTCAAAACTCAAGGTAATCTAAGTTATGAGTATATGGTTTGATTGAAACACAAACAAAAATGTAAGCACATGATATAGTGCATTATTCCACTATCTATCTAATATTATAGTTAGGAAGTTAAATTCTAAATTTATAGAAGCATACCAATAGTAAAGAGCGATCTAATTTTCATTAACTTCGATCCAATGATACAAAAATTCATCCCAAATATTTTTTTTTTCATTCAAAAATATCATTTTCTCTGCATGATAATTGATACCCAATGTCAGACTTCTCACTAATCTACACTTACCTCTTTTTCTCTCTTCCCTACCTCTCTCTTAAAGAAAATAAAAGGAAAAATAAATTGTTATTTAAAATATAAATATTGCATGTTGAATGGTAGGGTTTTTTGCTATTGCGAAGTGTCTTAAGGCACAAGGTCATTGCTAGTAAAGTCATACAATGAACTCATTATGCAGATGACTTCCATGTACCTTTTGTAAACAAACAACCAAAACAAAAACTGCTGGTTATATGCTTTTGAGGGAGGTTTTGGATCCCATTGTAGTTTGCTTGTCATGTGGTTTCTAGGCGTTATTTATTGTTCAAAACAAAATATACTGATATATTCCATTCATCTTGTACCAAAACTAGACAAACAACAACAAAAAATCCAAATATACACAATAAAGTATATGCACAAATATTTTGAGCCATATTAGTGCTAGTCAATCTAGATGACCTTCTGATGACTCTGCCTCATTGAGAATAATATTTCATTTTTGATTGGCAAAATCACTGATCAAGCATCAGTTAGGCAGTTCTTCCAAGTTCCATATCTTGAGCTGAAGTTCCCTCCACCATGCTGCTGTGCATATTCGGAAAAAACTGTGCGAGCACATGCATCCCACGTCTTTGCTATCTCTCCAAGTGACATAGGTTGGCGAAGGGTTCGGAGAGATACATCGAGCTTTGATTTTGCCTTCGCTGAGAGATCATCATCACCCGTACTGCCCACACAGTGTTGGACCAAAATTTGAAGTAATCGATACATCATACATGAAAATATATGAGAAAACTCTGGTACTATTGAAATACTTAAAAGAGAGAAAAGTAAAAATCCAAGAATATTAGGATGTCCCTTTCGTAGATCACTACCAACAAAACATTGGGGAGAGAAAACTAAGATCAAATATTTTGATATATTCAGGATGCAGTGACAGGAATTCATTTGTTATTTAAGATTCACCACCCTAACAAGACTAATTGCATGAATTCAGATTATGAATGGCCAACTTAACCTCAGAAGCTGTGCTGACATTAAGTTTATCAGAGTAAGTAAAAAAAGGAATTGTTGTTTTTGAAGTAAAAAGGCACTTTAATCAGACCCGGAAACCACAATTAAATTCAAACCTAAAAAAATTCAAAAAAGGGAAAATGCCCAAATATCTGCATATAACCATCAGAATCTTGCATTCATTTTTAGTTCCATGATGTTAAAACTAGGCATCTACAACAAATTCATGGACACGGTCCTCACCTACTCATCTACACCCCATACTGCATAATACAACACCATTCATCTCTTAGTTGTTGAATAAAGCAGGTCTTGGTTTTAATATGCATCCAATGATGGGACAAGAATACATGAGCATATTTTTTCGCAATAATTTAGAAGTCAAAACTCTTTGTAGCCCCCCACTTACCATTAATCCATCCAATATTACTGGGGTTTAACGAGTGTAATTTGGGTGAGGGGTTGGGGGGGGGGGCTTGTTCTGCTTCGGCATGCTTTGCATGAATGAAGCTTGACTCAAGCTCCTCACCCCATTCGGTGCTTTGCTTATGTTCGGCAAAACTCAGGCTTGTTCATGAGCCTTGTTAAGCTCGTCAAGTCTTCACCGATGCAAATCAACCACTGGAAATTGAAATTTGTTCTCAAGAGCTTATTGAATGAACTTTGTGTTTGAACTTCCACATGTTAACTGAACCTAACTCAGCATGGCCTACCATTTGCTACTCACAAATTTTAATAATGTGTGGTAAGAGTGGGAGAAAGAAGGCACAAGAGCAAAGCAAACAAAAATTGGTCTTATGTAGAGGCTTTGACTTTGTACTAAAAAAGAGAAAACTTTGGGAGTGGGTCCGGTTGAAAAAAGTTTATAGGACCAGCTGATCCAAGGGTCCCAAGTCATTTGGGATCCCTAGCTCTCTTTTGTTTGATTGACATCAGCAGAAATTAAGCAAAACTGACCAATCCAATATCCATACGAGTGATGGAATAAATCCATATTCAGGCAAATTTGCGTCATCTCCTATGGATTCAAAATGAGAGACACAACGGATCTCCTACGGCAACAAAAAATTTCAATTTTTAAATATAAAAAGAACATAATGCATTTGAGTGGAGACAAGCAATGGATGGGTTTTTGTGTTTTATTTGTTCTATGGCCTGGGTGCAGGGGTGGGGTGCAGGCGATGCCCATACCTTTTGTGTTACAGGAGCATTTACAGAAAACAAAAAAGCGGAAAACATGACAAATGTGAGCCTAATTTGAGGGTTGCATGTATACTATACCATGATTAAAAATTACTCTATATCCATATCTTTAATGATTGGGTTGAATGCTACGGACTTGGGAGGAAATAGAAAGATGAAGACTCTTTGGCAGTGTGCTTTTTTTGATACTATTTGGGTGATTTGGTTGGGAAGGAACATGAGGATCTTTGAGGACAAAATTGAAGAGGAGGAAGGGTTATAGGACCAGATGTTGGCATCTTTTTGGGCATCAGTGTCTAAGGAATTTGCAAACATTCCTGTTTTCTGTATTACTGCCAGTTGGACAGCCTCCTGTGGGATATAACATGTTCATATTGCATTGTTTTTGCTTGTGTTTTTTCTTTTTATTTGTGTGATGTATGACTTTTCCTATCTCTGGGATTGGACGTCTTATCCACCTTTAGATAGGATTTCTNCAGCCTCCTGTGGGATATAACATGTTCATATTGCATTGTTTTTGCTTGTGTTTTTTGTTTTTATTTGTGTGATGTATGACTTTTCCTATCTCTGGGATTGGACGTCTTATCCACCTTTAGATAGGATTTCTTATTTTTACTTATTAATAAGATCTTATGTTTTCTATCCAAAAAACAATTGCCCTAGTTGTCAAAATGGAGGAGTAAAAACCAGCAACCATGAACTGACTGAAAATTTACATGCAGTGTGAGTATTAAGATTATTTTTTTAGACTCCTAATAGACTGGTTTTTTTGGGTAATAAATAAAATTGGTTTGGAATCCTGTGGCGATGTGCAAACAATTTACGGCCTGAATTCACATGGACCTGTGCAAAAATATTTAACTGCAAGATTGTGCTTCAAAACCATGAATCAAGGACAAACTATGGAATAAGCAAGCTCATTAAAATTAGTCAGGCGTGGAAAATCTTATCACTAATTCACTTACCTGGTTTCCGCGGATAACTTCTCTAGGAATATTGGGGAGCAACTTGGATAATTTGTCGGGACAAGTAACTGTAGGGGCTTGATAGGTACCTGCACCATCATATAGCATGAAGACAGAGGATTCACATATAGGTTGTGATATACGCTTATACAAATAAGTGTATGAACCCACACCAGTTTTAATGATGCATCCTGTGAATTCAATTTAGGACTGACGGCCACCGGACTATAAGAACACTTGACGATGGTCCCTTCACTACCTTCAGTAACCGAAGTGGCCACCATTGAATTGACATCTTCAGCATTGATATCAACCACAGTTTCTATCAATTTCCGGTTTATCTCTTTTATTTCTTCCAACAGAGAATAATTGACCTGCAACATGTTGAATTAGTTCTTTTATTGAAATAACAGAGATGACATTTCATCGTCATTTTCAAGCTGCATTGAGATAAAAGTTAATTAACATGGAAGCACCTATTGCATGGACATAGCGTTGCTGCTTTCTAGAAAATTAAAGAGAGAATTTATTTAATTGTTCCTTATGAAACATGTTCCAATTGACCCTAGGAACTAAAACAATTAAATTGTGAAGAATAGTTTATACATTTACTTGCAAGATATATCCTTTTCCACTATGTGGAATGCCACTGGATGTGGAAGTATTAAAGGAAACATCCAACGGAGGTGCACATGCACAGACACGTTTGGGTACAGAAGTGAATTTAGTGTCATGCAGGCAAGTGTAGAGACAGTAAACTCTAGTGTTTCAGTCATTGACACAGATTGGAATGATGTAATATTGCTCGTTTACTCATGATCGCATATGTGCACACCAGTGTTTTGCATACAAGAAGCAAACTCTGTAGAGTAGAAAATAATTTGCAAACAAATACCTTTATAAAAAATTTATGGTACCCCTTAGATCTCTGATGTGGGTCACCCAGTATCGGTGTGTTTTTGTTAGGTGGGTGGGGGGAGCATTGCACATTGCAGTGCTTTCATCCAGCAAAGTCACAAGCTATTCTGATAGTAAGCCACAGTAAAGCTCTTCTCATCTCCACCTCCTCAATTTCAAGCCAACTCACTCTTTTATATATTATCAAACACCATAATCATCTTCACTTGATGGCCAAAAACGTTCATCTCAATGTATACACTTTTATAGGATTCAGTGAATCAATGAAGGATTTGTCACAAGCTCACTTGATTAAATTTAGAATCCTAATGATTCTCTTTCTCCTCCTACTATTCTATGGGAAGACTTGGTATAACAACCACCTTCTGCAATCCACTTACCCTACTTTTCTACCTCCAACTTGCCTCCCTCACTAAAACCTCCTAAACTATCTAATTCCTCAATTTCCCAAAAGATCTTTGTTCTCCTACATCTAACATCGCAAGTGATAACCACATCATATTCTCAAATCTAAACCGNTAAAACCTCCTAAACTATCTAATTCCTCAATTTCCCAAAAGATCTTTGTTCTCCTAAATCTAACATCGCAAGTGATAACCACATCATATTCTCAAATCTAAACCGCACAGCCCCCCACATAATACGATTTAACTTGTGTGCAATTGGAAAATGGGCCGACTATAGTCTAGACATAACCCTTTGCACCACATTCAGAAATAAATCTTTCCTCTATGTAGCAAAGAGGAACCTATCTGTCCAAGTTGTAACCTAACACCTAGACTATGTAAACTAAGCGTTAGAAAAAGAAATATCCTGCAACCCAAATACAAAAACAAAATTATTGAAAATTTTATTTTGTGAGGATACTTGAGGAGGGAATTTATGGTTTAGTACTGTTTTTCATGTTTTTGTCATTTGTCCTCCCCCCACGAGGCTCCTTATTCAACTTTTCTTGTCATAAGGGAGGACTCTTATTCTTGAGATTTTCATTTCTTTAGGTGCCTACGGATTGTTTCTTTGTTTGACACTCTCCATTTTTCCTTTAGTACTATTCTTCTCACGATTGTAGACTTTGTATTGTGGATAATCAGGTATATACTATCTTCCCTTGTATATCTTTTTATTCATAGCTTGTAACCCCTCAAAAAGCTCAATCATTTATTTCAAAACACCTATCTGGAAAGCCAAAAGTCCACCACGAAAGTCAAGGCCTTTTCTTGGTGTACTGTCCTCACCCAGGTGACTTGTTGCATGTAAGGAGGGGTTATAAGGCTTTGATCCTGATTTTTGCTACTTGTTTGAGAAGTGGAGTGTCAAATACTCACTAATTCAATTGGTGTTTTGCATATCAATATGATTGGCGAGGCATGATTTTATCCATATTCCAGTGGGGAATATGGAATAACTAATCCAATAGGATTGGTGAGGCATGGGTTTATCCTTCTTGAGAGGAGAAGTTGTTGCACATCAATTTATGGTGTTTTGGGAGAACAATCACTCCTTTGGAATGGCGCATTGGTGGTAATTCTTTGGTGTACTTGACCAGAGCAGAACTTCAGAATTTTCAATGACCGTATCTTCCTTCAAAATTAGTATCAGAAATTGTGATTTTGGCTTCTTTTGCACCAAAGTCATGGAAATTGAAGAGGGCTGCCCTTCTTGGATCTTCAATGGAATCAGAAGGCAGCTGTTCTTTAGTCTTTTAGTTTCTTTTATAGTGAACTCTACCTTGTTTTCCTTTTCTTCTGATGATATCTTGTCCTTAAAATTGTCGGTCTGTTTTAGATTATTCTCAAACAAGTGATGAGCGGTAAGAATGGGAAACAAAGACCATATGAAGAAAATTATATCTAAAAAAACTGGAACCATAGGCTCGGATTGAGAATTTGGCACTTCATTTGGTTGGTGGAAGAGGACTTTGATGGTGGATCAAATATCAGAGGCAGGACTACAAATTGTACTGCCTAATGATGATGATATGATGAATATGAACTCAGCTGTGTTGATGTGCTACAACCAAGTTGTCTGGATGAGTATGTATGACAAATAACAAATGCAAGGGATTATATATCAAGAGCTTCTACCATGCTGAAGACATAGCTGCAGCAGTTACCATACCTCAGTCCTTGGCCTCTTGCTATAAGATGTTGCAGTTGACTCCAAGTCAGATGCCTCGTAGCTAGTCAACAGCTTGACACTATCATTAATGCTGCTTACTGATGAAACAGTATTTGAGGGCACTTCAATTGTGTAGCACCTGGCTCTCTTTCTTCCAGCAATCCCAACTGGCATGGTGTAATTTCTTCCTTGCAAATGACAATTAGTCATGGCAACCAAATCCTCACCAACTGCCATCCTAGATCCATCACCTGGAGTTGATCCAGCTGTCCTCTCAACAATACTGACAACTGACTCCATGCCACCAACAGAAGCACTTAATGCTTCATGCGACATTGATCTCACCTGTACATTCACATGTCAAAAAATTTGAAAAATTGCATGCCATATAAGGACTTTAACATAAAATCAACTGGAAACTTATCTCAAACTAACCGCTTTAAGTAGGCGCTGAAAAGGCTGCTTGGAAACACTAGAGTCGCAACCATCAGTTGGTAGAATGCTATTATGATTTCCATCCAGATCATTACACAATGCAAGCAAAGGCGAGGCTGATGATCCAGGAGTGGGTATCAAAAGGGGTGTGGCTGATGCTGCCCCATCAGTTGTTTGTTGAAGTCCAATACTTGCATAATTTGAGAGTGAGCAAATACTTGAAGTAAGTTTTTCAGAATTCCATTTAATGGAGGATGGAGACAAGGAAGATGAAGGAGAAGGAACAGGAGCTGATAAGTCCAGAGATGGAAAAGGGGTTCCCGCTTTTTCAAGAGATCTCTGCAAATTTTTCTGGTCAACATATGTAGAGGAATGTTGAGGAATTTGAAGAGATGCCTCCGCCTGAAGAAGTTGGGGTGAAGAGAGAGGGGATGGAGATTCTGACTTCACTTGGTGATGGTTATTCATTGAATGGTGGCCTGCTAAGGGATATTGCAAAAGAACCTGCCCTTTAACATCCATGCTTTGTATCACTTTCTGGTTGTCTATTTCGTTCATCTGATGAACATGTGTTTGGTTGCACTGCTGAAGCTGTTTCTTTGCATCTTGAGCCTTAATTGGTTGTTGGTCATTCTGTGATTTGAGATGCATGCTCTGAAGCATAGTATGCGATTCAAAGGGATTAATGTTCTGCAGACTTTGTGACAAAACGGTGTTGGGTTGAGGGTCACTTGCAGAATATTTTATAAATGAACTAAAACCAATCCCTTGTTCTCCATCCAAATTTCTACAAGGCTGTTGCAAATTCATTATGGTCTGCGGTGAAGTTGTGGTGTCAGATAAAATCGCAGACTGCTGCAAGCTTGTCACATTATTCTTTTGCATTTCAATTTTAGAGCACGAGTTGTTCAATTGAAAATGGGGATTGATTTGGTTTCCACAAGGATCACCTTGAGGATTTTGAGATTGTGGCAGCATAGACATTTGTGATAACTGCACAAGGGGTTGGGGCACATGCTGCCGCAGTGAAGAACTGGACTTTTCTGGCCCAGCGAATTTAAGAAAATCAATGATCTTTTTCTCAATCACATCCACCATCCTTTTGTGATCTGTTGATAGCTTATTTTTGGGTAGGTGTAAAAATGTTCCGTAATACTTAAATGCATTTGCTATCTTTTTGAACCTCTCGAGATGGGCAGTCTTTTCTTGTTCCGGAAGAGAATTGACCTGCAAAGCATCAAATAACACTTATATATTATGTAAACAAACAAATGAACCACAGTAGTTGAAAAGGTAAAGTTTTGAAGCAAAGAAACATCTCCAAACTGGGTTCGGAGAAAAGGAATTGAGTTCTAGAAGCAAGAAAGGCAAAAGCGATGAGGTTACCTGAGAAGATCTTACAAGATGAAGAAACTTTTTGTGGGCTTCCCTGAGTTTNCCACAGTAGTTGAAAAGGTAAAGTTTTGAAGCAAAGAAACATCTCCAAACTGGGTTAGGAGAAAAGGAATTGAGTTCTAGAAGCAAGAAAGGCAAAAGCGATGAGGTTACCTGAGAAGATCTTGCAAGATGAAGAAACTTTTTGTGGGCTTCCCTGAGTTTTGGAAAGTATATGTCCCTCATAGCTGTAACCTACATAGTAGAATTGGAAGTATGCGTCCCTCAAGTGTTGGTGATGATAACACAAGGTTTATTGAAGATAATTAGATACAACAGAAAATTATGGGACTCTACCTTTTGATAGACCTCCTCTTGCAAATCATCGTCGTTTTCTTGTCTGGCCTCACATATTGAATCTAGTGTCACTAGAGACAAAGTAAGCAAATATTTGTACATTACTCAGTAAAATTGTCCACATAATCCTAAGTAAAAAGAAATAGAAAATTACAAACCATTCAAATGAAGAAATGAACTCCATTGAAAAGAACATGATGTTGCAATCATTTAAAATAACCTTAGCCCACATTAAAAACAGAAGCGGCAGCCCAATTGTCATTGACAACGTATCCAGGAGGACTTCCATGGATTATTAAAACTAAAATATTAGGTCATCTCGGTAGATTTGTCCACCCAAAAGTTGGCTTCAAGATAAACCTAGAAGATAAGAGCTCCCTGTTTGGCTCAACAACCTGCTGTGATCAAACATAACGGAGCCACAGTGGTGGAACTCTGTGGATTGATTTCTTTGGGGTAAATGTAGATCTATCATCGTGTTCAAGGATAATAACGGGGAGTCCCCAATAAAAGATATCACAATGTAAAGTAGAAAAAGTGCCAAGGAAGATTCTCCCATATGAAGCTCTAAGACAAGAGAGAATGAACTCCTATACGCTCAAATACCACAACTAATGACCTAAAGCACCAAAAACTCTTTTATGGCTTATGGGTGATTATGGGTAGTCACTAGTTATTGGTGCTAAAGTTTAGAAACGAAATAAAACTGTTAAGGTTTGCATATAGTTTGAGGTATAGTATTCCAATTTCAATAAGATGGGAAAAATGATGTTTTGGCTGGTGGTAGAGATTGTGAAACTACCATCAATAGTAACCACTAACCAGGGGCTGATTGGTGATGATTAGGATGCAGAGTTCAACAACCAAAGAAGAAAAAGATATGCATCTGGATTAACCAGCAACAGAAAGAATTAAATATCGAAAAGCAAGTGCATGCCTTGCAAAATGTCAAAAATATCATAACCCTCTTCAAAATAAAAAGGCTCGATTCTCAAACTGTACTTACCAGATTGTGCTCCATTGGACCTAGATGTGTTACTTTGCTGGCCCAACTGTTGTGGATGTGGAGTTGAATGGTCGTTGTGGACCAATAACTTCTGATGCTGCATGTCAAAGGCACATTTTTGTTTCCCCTTTGATTGGTCCAGTTGAATGTCAGTTGAATCTGGTAGCTGTCCCATAAACTGTTGTTGCTGCTCTGGTGGCAACATTAGTTGTCGCAGCAATGGCACTTCTTGATTATTAACTGGAGCCTGTTGTGGCTGTTGCTGTTTCCTTAAAGACTGAGGATCTTGCTCAAGTAAAGGTTGTTTAGACTGTCTAACAGAATACTGCTGATTCTGTGGAAGACCAGGTAACGGAACTGACTGTCCCAAAGAAAGATGCATAACAGAAGGTGTTTTCATGACAGTCTGCCGGGGAGACTGCATCTGAGGAGTTGAAAAGGTGGTCCGCTGGTTCTCAGTTTGCACGTTTGCGCAAGAGATAACCCCCTGATTGAAATCCTTCTTCAAAAGCTGATTTTGTACTTGTTGCTTGAAAGGATGTTGCTGCGAAATCTGAGATTGCTGCTGAAGTTGTTGGGTAACAACCGTCATTGATTGTTCCCCTCCCTGCTCCTGCCTCTGAGAATTGGCACAACTATCGAAAGGCCTCCCTTGTCCAACTAAAATTTCTACAGGATCCTGTGAAATGCCAGAAATGTATTGCAAGTTGGACCTCTGGCCAACAGCTANTCCAGTTGAATGTCAGTTGAATCTGGTAGCTGTCCCATAAACTGTTGTTGCTGCTCTGGTGGCAACATTAGTTGTCGCAGCAATGGCACTTCTTGATTATTAACTGGAGCCTGTTGTGGCTGTTGCTGTTTCCTTAAAGACTGAGGATCTTGCTCAAGTAAAGGTTGTTTAGACTGTCTAACAGAATACTGCTGATTCTGTGGAAGACCAGGTAACGGAACTGACTGTCCCAAAGAAAGATGCATAACAGAAGGTGTTTTCATGACAGTCTGCCGGGGAGACTGCATCTGAGGAGTTGAAAAGGTGGTCCGCTGGTTCTCAGTTTGCACGTTTGCGCAAGAGATAACCCCCTGATTGAAATCCTTCTTCAAAAGCTGATTTTGTACTTGTTGTTTGAAAGGATGTTGCTGCGAAATCTGAGATTGATGCTGAAGTTGTTGGGTAACAACCGTCATTGATTGTTCCCCTCCCTGCTCCTGCCTCTGAGAATTGGCACAACTATCGAAAGGCCTCCCTTGTCCAACTAAAATTTCTACAGGATCCTGTGAAATGCCAGAAATGTATTGCAAGTTGGACCTCTGGCCAACAGCTATGGGCATGGACGTCTGGGTTGAACCACCAATAGGAGTCATTGCCGATTTTGCACTGGCAATACCTCGTACTCTAGCAGATGCAATACTATTTAGAATGCTCTTGGATGATGGCTGACGTGCTTCAAAAACAATGAAAATAGAAAAAAAAAACAAGTTCAAATATTAACAACTGAAACTATTTGGAATAAAGGCTGAAGCTTATGCTGCAAAGGGAGTAAAAAACACTCGAATACAAGATTTTGAAACCTGCAGATGTTAACAAATTCTTACATCCCTAATGAATGTCAAACAGTGTCCAAAAAATTAAAACTATATGCAGATATCACTGAAAATATACAAAGTCCATATCTTTATGTTGGTGTTGTGTAAGAGCACTTTTGATGTTAGAGCTAATACCTTGATCCCCAGAATTTTCACCAGGACAGGCAGCATCTATTGGCAAACAATTAATTGCAAAGTTCGGAGGTAATGTCTTCACTGACGCCATCTTCGAAGTTATCCGCCGCATATAATCCTCCTGCAAGTACAAATTGAAAAACTCAATTTTCAGAACTTTTCTGGAACAAACTGAAAGACTCAAGCTCCAAAAAAAAAAAATCGAAGGATGAAGCTAAGCAGTATGGCGGTGCCATGGGCTCCTCAAGTCCCCAAGGCTTGCAACATATATGTTTATTCGATGGTAAATTACACAAATTTCCCTGAACTTTAAAACTTGCCTCAAGTTTTTGCCTCAACTTTACTTGGTCCCAATTTTAATCTTATATTTTTGAAATTGTAACAATCTGTCCCTTCCCTTCGATTCCCCCATTACAACTAATGGAAAAACCTGCCCTCCCCCCCCCAGGGTGCCCTCCCCTAGTTTTTTTTGTCAAATTTCTCACAAGAGCACTAAGAAATTATCTCTTTCAATTTAAAGCTCATAATTATCCTAGAAGGTCCCAATTGCAATAAAAATAAAAACACACATTTTGTTTAGTTAAATCGGAGTTTTTATAGTATTTCTAACAAATCAAAAGGTTTTGGTTAATCAAATCCTATATCAACTATATAATGGTAATCCTATGAGAATTCCTTATTTATAATTTAGTATAGTACTGTTTGGAATATAACGCCACCCCCTATTTGAGTAAGGCTGAAAGTATCGGCATGCACGAAAGTAGAACGAATCTAGGCGCCGACCAATAAGATGTTAAGTAGCAGAATCTGTGCGTGAGAACAGATGGGGAATGCTGCTACGAGTATTATTATTATCATTTTATTAGCATTAAGAAACAAAGTATAAAAGAGAAACAATGAGTGAAAATTTTCATGTTTCTCAATTTTGCTCCCAGATAAGGCTTTGGATAGGCTAATTTTTTTAACCCTAGACAAACAGAAGACCCCTAACCTACAGCACAAATTTTAATGTCAAAAAAATACTATAAAACTCCTAGTTGAATTTGTTAAAACAGAGAAAGAGTAATTGCTCCAACAGAGTGAGAGAGCTTTTGCTCAATTGAAATGTTCATTACTTTGTGCAATGTCAAGCACAAGTTATCAAGCAAAAACATAGGTTCAAGTCTAACAGCAGTAATTATGGCGAGTAGAGCCAAATGCTTAGCTTTTTCCCATATCGTACAATCCAAGAGGAAAAAATTGACAATATAGACTTAATTTAAAATGAGATTAGGATAAAATATAACTCTAAACCGTGAAAATTTGCATAATTTTAAGGTGCATGTTTCCAATTCTCGAAGGTTTTTGCTTTCAATCTTTGCCATTTCTATTGTTTTACAATGTCCATTCAGAATTAAGTCAGTTCCCTAATTGTTTGGTATATGAATCAGGATTCAGGACCCAAGCCAAAGGGGAAGTAAGAACCATAAGAAATGAGACGGTTAAAGGAAAAGTTGTTTATGCAAACGCGGATCCATGTAAGTAAAAAAAAAAGGGATTGGATAAGGCTACATTGAACTAACTTGTTACAAAAAATAGAATTCTGTAAAGAAAGAGTAATGCAGACTCAAGGTATACTGCATCTCCCCCACCCCACTCCCCATCCGGAAAAAAAAAATAGAGCCAAAGTCAATGAATACTTCTAAATGATGAATATACCTGACTTGTGGTANCAGACTCAAGGTATACTGCATCTCCCCCACCCCACTCCCCATCCGGAAAAAAAAAAATAGAGCCAAAGTCAATGAATACTTCTAAATGATGAATATACCTGACTTGTGGCAGCCATATATATCTTGTCCTCAAATCTTAAAGCAAGCTGCTCAGTCGCATATATGTCTTGTTGGCTCGGAGATGTCATATGCCTACTCAGTGTATCTATTCTATACAAGCAAGATCAAGTTCGGAGAAGTTATTTGCTAAGCAAGGCAGAGAAAAGCTATTAAAAGCAAAGGATACTATCTAGGAGGTCCATTTGCCTCTGATATAGCAAATAAACAAAAATATAAACATGTAACTTCTCAGACACATCCAGTATCAAGCAAGAAGCTAGCAAACAACAGGCCAAGCAATTAAATCTGTAAGTCATATTGAAAATTGTTGCCAACTCAAGGAAAACGATAGTTGTTTGAAACCATAGAGCACAATTCATTTCTCATATTATTTAGGTGTTTTAAGTAATAAGGAAGCTAAAAATTACACCATAATAGTAAATAATATACAGGCCATATTTCACATTGGCAATATTCTCTATGAGGGAAATTGACCATAATTAGCAGATCCGTAATCACATCTTTGTCACAACTCCTAAATACGTAAATTAGGTTTTCTTTTTCTTCTTTACTTTTCTCAGAGTTAGGGTGGGGAGCCAATTTTTGGTCCTTTTTGCAGATGCATATTTGTCCTGCATGAAGTCCTATAGCAATGCAGTGCAACGTAGTATAATAAATTAAGAGCCATACTACTGATGGCATACATTTACAGAACAGAACACCAGATGTTAACTATTACTTCCACCTTGATCCTTCCTTAAAGAGAAGAAGTGATCAAGGAGGTGCTTCAACAAATAATTTTTGAATTTCATAATAGAACTTACCTTTTTAGAAAATGTTTTGTTCTCTCTTCAGTCTCTGCTACTGCCACTCATACATAGGTTCTTGGAAACTTTAAAGAATAATTTTCTCTTGTAATAAAAAGTTTACTTCTATGAACAAATCAAAAGAGGCATCTGTTATTTACTATTTACAGAAGGTATAAACTACAATTAGGATTTCTAGTTTTCCAACATCTGTATGGAAGATTTTTTCCCTTCGAAAGGACCCTCTCATTTCTAATTATATATGTAATTTAATTGGAAATATAGTGTACTTTCACAGCCCTTTTTTGGATAAGTTTCACTAGTTTGCTATAGAATCATCATCTTTTAATTAGACAAAGAGAAGAGAGGAGCAAAATAGAATGAATGCTTCTTCAATCAGTTTTACATAGACAAGTAATACCACTTGCCTAATTAGTTCTACTATTGTCAATGTGCCTCTCATTTAATCTCTTAGTCCTATTAATCATACTAGCTTCACTAAGTTACTTGAAGAGTCAAGCATACCAACTTCCCAAGACGATCATTAAAGCAGAACAAGATAGTCAATTACAGAGGTATCAAGATCACAGGAGGAACCTAAGAAACAAACTGTAGGTATCAAGATCACAGGAGGAGCTTAAGAAACAAACTGTCCTATCTTTTAATTAGATAAAGAAGAGAGGATCAAAACAGAACAAATGCTTCTTCAACCAGTTTTAAATGAATAAGTGATACCACAAAAAACTTCTAGTATTGTCATTGTGCCTCACATTAAAATTTTCAGTGTGATAAGAAGATATGGAAAGGGAACCAAAGAGCCAAATAAACACACAAAATCAAGACGACAGCAACTTTGCACAGTGATCGTAACCTTAGCATCTGGTCCAGACAAGAACAATTTAATTCATACAGGAAGACCATAGACATGGGGCGGATTTTCTTTCAAGCAATTCAGATGAGTAGTGTTCAAAAGTAACTAAAGTAAGACTAGAAGGTCAAAGACACCCTTTAAGTTACAATTGAGAACAATATTGGAGAACAAGTGAAATTGTGATAAGAACGTCAGTGAAGAAGCTTCATATTATCACTGGCATATCTGAAACCCAATTTAGGTGAAATTACTATATATCCTATTAACAAACTTCGAACCAAAGCATTATTTCCTTGAATCAAAGAAAAAAAGAAAAGCAATATTTTTGCAACTTCCATGGTCGCGATTAACACAACCATACAATTCTCTTCGTTTCCAGCTATAAAAAAAATCAAATTTAGCAAATATCACGAATATGCACTTATCAAATAAGGCAGTCCATATCAACCTAACTTGCAAAGAAAATCTGCACTCCGATTAAAAATTAAAAGGAGGACACCACCATACTCGACTAAATGAATCAACCAATCAAAGGCCATTTAAGTCAAGCACGTAGTAGCAATTAAAAATTTCAAATAAAGGTTAAAACTTCACGTATTGATTAGGGTTTGCATCATACATAAACATTTTGTGTTTAAAAAAACATAGGCAACTTGAAGAAGGCTTACATTTTATGAACAATCTTCTGGCGAGACTCTAATGATAGCTGAGTTCTCCAATTGTTGGCTTCCATTTTCAATAGATCTTAAGAAGGCTCCCAATCGTTCACATCCCAGTCTGGCAAAGTAATCGCCCTTCCATATCACGACAAAATCTACTTAAAAAGGATTCGCTCTTTTAGGTATACCAACCATAAGATTCCAATCCACAATAACATCACAACTTTTACAGATTGCACTATATGAAAATGAAAGATCACAACAATTTACAACTTTAAACACGATTAATTGTCACAATCCCTACGATTTGGTTATAGCAATATCTATTAATACTCCAAATAGGGAATGTATAAGGTTAAAATCCCAAACATGGTTGCATTTATAATTCTATAAGGAAAGAAAATTAAACATATAACCGAACCCAATTATGCATAGCAAAAGGCTACAATCCACATTGAGATTCCAACTATGTCTTATAATCTAATTCACAATTTTACCAAAAAAAAAAACTCCTCCTTTCCCATTACTCAACTTGAATAAGTCCAATCAGGATCAAATCAATAACCACAGCTTAAGGCAATTGCCAATGACCCCAAATTTATTACTGGTTCCATCAATAACTATTTCACTTCAACTAAGTTGAGTTGGGTTGAGTTCATAAACAAAGTTATTTGTGGAGGCTTCGAAACAACAATGTAGTAGTCTTTGTTTTCAGCAATCATCATATGTCAGCGTATAACCCCCACATAATCCTCACAAGAATTTAAACAGAGAAGTGAACTTCCACACTTCACAAATAATATAAACATGGGTTTTGCCTAATTCTCACATATCTCCACAAATATATACATATACACAAATATGTGTGTGGGTATACATATGCTTATATTTATGTGCATACCTCTCTTTGTTTCGATTAAATCCTCCACCCTCGCTTTCTATACGGAAAATTATTTGATAATTCACCTTCAAAGCCAGAAGGAAAGGGCAAAAACTACAAAATTAGTAAAGGGTGTTTGTCTTGTGGTAAGTCAAAAAAGAGAGAGAAAGTTTTAGATGCAATAGCGAGATGCTGTCAGAGAGAGAGAGAGAGAGAGACCCTATGGAGATTCTCAAGGCCACTGCTATGTGTTTGATGAAACGTGGGGGTCAAGGAACCTCTCTATTGTCACTGCGTTTTTATGTAGAGGAGCGCGAGTAAGAAGATGTTCGAAAACTTTGGACAAAGTCGGTTTTATTTCAGCATTGTCACATGCATTGCACGTGTATCGGAGATAAATATTTGCTAATACGTCTATATATATATTTTTTTTTTTTTTGCGATAAAACATTATCGAGTCATATTCGTGTAATGGATAAAACGTAATTTTTTCAATTGATCGGTGATAAATATTGTGAAAATAAATAAAATATTTTTTTTGGACGATAAAAAATTATGAGGTCATATACATGCATTGCAAGTGTGAACAAATATTTGCAAAAATAACTAAAGCATCTAAAAATATTTGCAAAAATAACTAAAGCATCTTACTTTTTGTAATCAATTTTTTTTTTATGCATTGTTTCGGTCATTTAAGAAACAAAAACGTTTCGATGTGTTTCGGATACATTTAAACCCGTTTCAAAATAAAATTAAAAAATTAAAAAAATTAAGAATTATTTTTTTAAAATATTGGTCGAAACATACCAAAATATCTTGAAACATTCTGAAATAATTATGCAAATACATTGAAATATAACAAAACATTTCGAAATATTATAGAACACATCGAAGTATTAAAATTTTGATCTTATTACTGATTCATTTCGGTCTCCTTGAAAGCGAAAACGTTTCGAATATTTCAAACGTTTCGAAACGATATTTTAATCCTTAGGAGTGAAACATATTTCTTTATACAAATATAGATATAGATATAAAAAATCGTTTATAAGTGTACTATTAATAAATAAATTTAAAATAATTTAAAAATTAGTTACTATTAATAAAAGATTATAAATAACTTAGAAATCAAATAGATATTGCAAATAAAAATTATATAGAATTTAGAAATTAAATATTGTTAATAAGAGAGTTCAAAATAACTTAGAAATTACGTATGTATAAGAATTAAAAATTAGAAGAAACTAATATATTGAATTTATAATAAAAATTAGGGATAAAATAAGAAAGGATTAATTGCACTAATGACTCCAAAGCATGAGGTTTGTCTCATTTTGGTCCCCAATATTTTAATTGTATCATTTTACTCCCTAAAGTATTGAATATATTTTTATGTAGTCCCTCAAGTAGACGGTAGACAGATTCCTAATAATTTTTTATTACAAACTTGTCAAATAATACTTAAATATGTGAAAAAAAATAATTTGAATTACCTTTGACCAAATTTTAGTTAAAGAGTTACCTAAATTACACAGTTTTGATTATGAATTATCCAAATTTTGGTCATGCCACCCACATTATGCATGTTTGGTCAAGAGTAACCCAAATTTTGGTCAGGAGCTTTTCAAATTATTTTTTGCTCATATTTAAATGAATGTGACAATTTTATGATTATGATAAAAAATTATTACGAATTTGAATGTTATTTGTTTGAGGGTAAGGGTGTCAAAATATAACATAACTTGTTAACACAACACAAATTTAGAAGGTTTAGATTTTTTTTAAGTCATCCGTTTAGTAAAAGAGTGGACCCGACCCTATACGATTAATAAACAAATTGGATATGAGTGATGTCAATTAGAAGAATACATAA